AGGCTTCTGGCGCTCGCTCCTCTCGCTTGACAACATCTCTTTTTGCTTCGTACAAATTCAATTCCTTCAACTCGATCAATCATTTCTTTGGCTTCAACTCTTGCAAGCACTATGGTTAGGGTTTTTTCATCACTACTTCCTCTTCTACTCACTCGCGCCTCTGACTCTTGGACGGTACTGTCTCTTCTTTCTCACTCACTTCTCTCGTTTGGTTCATTATTTGTTTTCTTCGAGTGGGGACGCTCGATTCCTTAAAAGCAAACCGTGGAGACGATTGCTTTCCCAACAAATTGACATAAACTCGATAAAATTTATTTTCTTATATTTCATTTTATTTTATTTATTTTTAATTAAATATTTATCTTATACAATTATTAAAATTTGTCGTTCTTATAAAATTTTATTTTTGAAATTTTTTAACTTCACAAAAACTAAGCATTATGTAGATTAAACATGAATTATGCATGAATCTTTAAGAATGTTAATTCTTATTAATGGTTTTTTTGGGCGGCTGTAAAAGGAGCGTGCTGTATTCCTTTCGTATGATTTTAAGGATTTCACGTGTTTGACATGAATATTTATAAATTGAATGTAAAATAGGAATGAATTTAGAAATCATTCCTTTGTTCATTTTCAATGGATTTAAAATTTGATAGATTTGTTTGAATTTCAAATACATAGCTTTATATAAAGTGTTGGCCGCCATCGCTTGTTGCCTGTCGCCATTTGTCGCCTCCGACCAACCCTGTATGCCGCCTTTTACCATCACTGCTGTTGGTCACAACATCTGGCTATCGCCGTCCCCGGTCATTACCGGTCACCACCTTCGTCCAATGCTGCTGTCGGTGGCTACCTCTGGCCACCACCACCTCCAGTTGGTCATCATCGTGTTCGATCGCCTCCTTCGGCCACCACCGTCATTGGTTGCAGCCGATCGTTGCCACCACCGACCACTATTAGTTGCCACCTTCTTCAACCGCCACAGTCAAGCGTCGTCGTCGTTGCCATCGAGAACCACATTATGCCACCCATGTAGTGCCCGACCACAGCCACCGACCACCTATGTTACTGTTGCCGACACTATAATTTATTGAAAACCTCTCATATTTAGAAATACGATATTTTTATTTCACTTCAAACCAAATAATAAAAATAAAGTCGTTCGTTTTTTTTACAGTGAACCAATCAACTCTAAAATATTTCAAATACAATGCATGAATCTTATATTGCTTTCATTTTACATTACATTTCTTTTTTGTCGACCAAACAACCCATAAGTGCTAACCAAAGTAGATATGATAAATGCAATAGAGATATTCCGAGGCATATTAGCTTCTACATTATCTCTTATGACTTCTTCCTCTTGGTTATTCATAATTTTGAAATAAACTAAAATAATCTAATTAGACTCAGTTAAAAATTTAATTTATATTATTTATAACTTAATTAAATCATCTTGATAGTTCATTCATTAAGATTCCTATTTTTTAATCTGATCTTCAGGTTTGACACCACTTTTGTCACGACCAAGTTAGGACTTGGAATTAATCAAGGTGGAAACAGATGGTTAGATGGTGAAATTAAATTTTTTATTACTTTAATTATATCACAAACAGTTAAATTTGAAAAGGCCATTAAAGAAAATATTTTATTTAAAAAATAATAGTTTATCTCGTTCAACCGTTTGCTCTTGCATTGGTTAATTCTAAGCCCCGGGTCTGGTCGTGATATAAAATTTTGAGCTGCTTTGATATAGGGCTTCAATGGCTATTGAGAATTGCTCGAGAATGCTGGCGAAGTACTGAAGACTGATTGAGAATGTTGTGGCTTTGACGAGGACTTCTAAAACAAACGATCACTTAAGTTCCCATTTGCCACTCCCGCTCGATGCCTTGTTGAGCGATGTCGAGCCGTCCTTGGTAGAGTCAAACTCAAGTAAGTCTCTAATAAGTGTTAAGTCTCTAATAAGTTTTTAGTTGTGTCGGATACATCTCAACCCGTGTCAAACACGTGTTATTGCCTTACACATGTCCAACATGGGTACGACACCCATTCTGAGGTGTCGGTGCTTCACAGTGGCTTCCCCTCATAAATTGACTTGAGTTTGGCTCTCGCTATCAGCATTTTACTGAAATAAGCTATGTGTGTTGACATTGCATGAGGACTGAACCTAACCCATAATCTGAGTTATCCTCCTATATAATAATTGTTGGATGAAATTAGGTACCTCCAACACTAGTTCAATCGTCATGAACTTATTTAACTTTTTCAGAAGTTTGGGTCGCAATTTCCTTTTATTGAAAGTTATCATTCTTCAATTACTCCGTCAATGGCCACACTATCTAAGTGCAACCTTTCACGAATTTCATGCAATATCCTGTAAGTCCCAGAAATCTTCTCAATTTTCATTGTCTTAGGTAGTGGCCACTCCAATGTAGCTGTCACCTTTGATGGATTTGTCAAAACCCCAAGCACCTTCAACACCTTCAAAGTCAACGAAGTCTTTCAAGAAACAACAGGATAATATCTCAAATTTCTCCCTATAATTCATAACAATCTCTTCCTGTACCAATACAAAAAATTGCTTGTGTAATCAGTCTTTGAATTATTCTCATACTATGATTGGTTGACGTTGTTCTTTCCATTGATATCAACATAGAGCCTTAGTGGAGCACAAGGCGGATGGTGTCGTAGGTGTCTGTCTAACACAATCATTGATGGTAGTTGATAAGGTGATGGTTGTCGACTGCAATTATGGTGACTGCAGTTGATGGTGGTTATTATTTTTGAAACAACTCAAATAATTCAAAATTCATTTTTAGTGATTTTAAAGAAACATAATTTGATTTTAAAAAAATAGTAAATAATTACACTAAAAACAAGACTGACCCCAAATGGGCTCTAGGCTTATTTGATTTGTTTGTTCGCTCAACTTTTGGAACTAAACTTTATTTATTTTTACTTTCCCTTGTCTTATTTTTTAAAGCTTATAGTCTTTATGTTTTAGGTTATTAACCTAAAAAAAATCTAGCCAATATTCCTATCGATATTTAGAGACTTGTGAGGGACAGCGTAATAATTTGGGTAGCAAGTTTTTCCAATTGAATTTTGAAGATTAAGATGTTGCTAAATGACAATATTTTGTTACCTATATGTAAGAACAAAAGTCATGAACAAGATTGTGCTAGAGGAGAGTAATGGAAAAAGAATGTGAAAATTACATTAATTTTTTATGATTGTTTTTGCTGACGTACTAATAGTTTCTGACATGAAAATAATGTGCTAAAAAATTATTGAAAAAGTATAAAAAATAGAAAAATTATTTTAATTTAACTTTTTTTGCATTGAGAAGGTAGTACCCCAATAATTAATTTGGGTGCACGATAACATAGAAAGTTATGTCAAATGTATGTTGAAATTATTAAAAATATTTATGATGGAGTAGTGATTAGTATTTGTAATTATGTAGTGATCAAGGTGTTTTCAATTATCGTAGAATTACATCAATGATTAGCATCAAGTTCATATCTTTTTGTATTGGTTATGGAGATGCTTATAAGTGATATTTAAAGTATGGTGCTTTATGTTTGCTTTTTGCAAATGACGGATCTGAGTGATGAGACATATGTTGAAATAAATAGAATGTTTGCAATAATAGAGAATATTTGGAAGATAGAAGGTTTAGAATTAGTTAATTAAAACTATACATCATATGCAATTTTTTATGTTCATATTCATAATGATTAATTAATATTATTAGAAGATAAATTGATGCATATATTTGACATTTTTAAGCATAATTGATCTATTATGTATACCAAAAAAAGGATATAGATAAGAATTTGGCTTCTAAATTTGAGTATCAATAATCAAAATGTAGAAGTGCAGTGCAAAGTGATAATAGGATACCATGAAAAGTTGCTAGTTTTATAAATTTTTATAAATTTACAATTATGCTATTAATATTGTATGGAATAAAGTTTTATGTTGATATTAATACTGATTAATTAATATTATTAGAAGATAACTTAATGCATATATTTGACATTTTTAAGCATAATTGATCAATTATATATACATACAAAATGGATATAGCTAAAGCCTCATAATTGATCAATTATATATACATACAAAATGGATATAGATAAGGCTTTAGCTTCTAAATCGGAGACTTAATAATCAAAATGGAGAAGTGCGTCAGAGTTCTATGTGATAAGAGGATACCATGAAAATTTTCCAGTTTTGTAAATTTTTATAAATCTACAATTATGCTACTAATATTGTATGGAATAGAGTGCTCAGCAGTTAAAAGTTTGTTGATAGCTAAGTCGAATATATTTGTAATAAGAATGCTAAGACTGAAGCGTGCTAAAATTTGAAAGTATAAATTAAGTAATGATAATATTGGACTAATGAGTAGAGTGAAATCTATTGAAGATGTGTTAGTTTAAAATTAAATTAGATAAAATGTCTCTGTTAGATTAGTATAGAAAAGTGGTGTTAGGAGATTAAAAAGAAAAAATGTAGACCCAAGGTTACGTTAATAGAAGTTGTTCGAAATGATTTGTGATCGGAATGTTTAACTTCCAAGCAACTCTCAATAGAACAAATGAAAATTGGGGATTCAAAAATTGACCCCAGGTGGTTTGGAAAGCTAATAATGATTGTGATGAACTTAGCAGGTTCATACAGCCCATTGAGTCCAACTGTAAACTTATTAAGGGAAAGTGCATCGTTTAAAATTTACTGTATTCCTTCTTAGGCTTGTGGAATGTTTTGTTTATTTTATTTTATTTATTTATTTATTTTGAACCTGCATTTCTAATTTTGTTTTATTTGAACTCAAACATGGTTATTGGATAATAGGGCAATTACGGCCTTTTTAAGCTGCATTCTTTATGGATTTGCAGTAAATATGCATGTATCCTTGTGGCGTGTGTGAAGTAGATACATTGGTAGGATGAATGCCAATTCACTTACTAATTTGGTTGTTTGTACAGGCAAAAAAGGCAGAAGAAAGAGAAGAGATTAACCGTGAAATAGCTGCATTGAACAAACTGACAGATGAGTTGGATGAACGCCTTATATCTCTCAACAGCCAGGACTTGAAACATTCTACTAAAGTTGGTTCTTTTCTGATCCCCATATCTTTGGAAGGATCCTCACATTTTTTATTAAGACTATGAATCGTATGCTTTTTCTTAATATTATATTTGTTCTTATTTTATCTGAACATAGCATTTTCCCATCTTATAGATGCACTTGATTGTCATCCTACTGATGTAGTTCTCCTGTTCTGCTCTTTTTTGTACCCTCTTTCCTTCATTTTTCATTATTTATGCGCACTTGCTAATAATTCTTTATTTCCTGCTTGACCATTATTTGCATGTTTCACTTGCTTTCCTAGACCTATTTTTTGTCAATAGTCATGTTTGCTATTTTGATTTCAATAATTGTTCTTCAATGTAATGTTTATCTTTTGGATAATTTCCCCCCTTCTAGTCTTTCCTGTTCATTTTTTTTGTACTCCTACAAGCTTTCTCACCCTCTTGGAGAAGGGGTTGTTTCTCGTACAAGAATGTTTTGTGATGAATGAATGGATAAAAATATTTTTTTGGAAGATTTACAGACATACCACTCAATTCTTATGTATATACATAATGGAACAAATAAACTTCAATTTTTACGTATATGCCACCTTACCTATGCGTGAAAAGGCACATTTCAATTTTTAAAAGTTAAAATACATAAGAATTTCGGTGTTAGATGTTTAAATACATACGAATTGGGCTATTACTTCTACATGAATATTTAGTAATGAACGGATGGAAAAAAATAATTTTTTGGAAGATTTACATTCATACCACTCAATTCTCTTGAAAAGACATTTCACTTTTTAAAAGTTAATTTAATGATATTTTTTATGGGATATGAAAGATTTGGGTGGTATAGATGCAAAGTTTAGGTGTTAGACGTTTAAATACATAAGAATTGGGTGGTATGTATGCAAATTTTGGAAAAAAAAAAGGTGTAGACATGTAAATATATAAAAATTGTGTATCTTCGTGATATTTTGCTATCCTACAATTTTGTGGCTGAAATTTTTGGCATTGCGACAGGAATTTTTTTGAACATATTGTCAATTCACATGGATATTTGGAAGTGCTTTCTTTATATGTCTAAATGATGTGAGCTTATTTCTTTGTATGCTTGATTACTCTTACTGCTGTCTATGAGTTTTAGTTATTTTGTAGCAGTGTTTTTGTTACTAGAGATTAAATTTAAACAGTTTTGTTCTTATCATGCCATTGTGCTTTTAAGTTAAACTCAATCACTGATATAGGGTTACTGGTTTTGTTTTTTTTTTCTTTTTTTTTCTTTTTCTTTCATGACTTGGGACCAAGTGTTTTTATTCTTAGTCTTTTACTTGGTTCTTCTCCTTTTCCACCTGCAGGCAATTTCTGTGGTCACATATTCAATATTTGTAAATTGGTTTGTTGAATTTTTTTTTTTTTTTTTTTTTTTTTTTTTTTTTGTGTTCTACACACGTTTGGCTTTGAATGCCCTTAATTTTGGTTTGTTTCAATCTATCTTGTAGAAACAATCTGATGATATGTTTGACTCATATTCTAAAATCATGGGAGAATTGCATTTTGAACCAAGAGCTCGTCCTTCAGATAGAACAAAGACTCCAGAAGAAATAGCTCAAGAAGAAAAAGAAGCTCTGGAAAAGTTAGAGGTGTTTTAACATTATGTCTTTGATACTATTTAACAATGTCAATGCTATTTGTCATTTGACATATTTGGTAAGTATTTTTTATCTTATGATTTTTTCTTCAAATTTTCTCAGGAGGAGCGCCTGAACAGGATGGAAGCTATTGATGAAGATGAGGGCTATGATGATACTGAAGATGAAGTCAAGCCATCATCCAGATTGGATAGATATGTTTCTGGTGATGATCTTGGAGACTCCTTTTCCACAATTAAGAATGGTGTAAATGAAAAAGGTTGGGTTGATGCTATATTTGAAAGGGAAGAAAATGAGGAACATGAAGAAGAAGATTGTTCATCTTCAGAGGGTTCAGAAAATAATGAAGATGATCAAGAAGGAACTGATGATGATAATGCCAGTGATGGATGTGGGGCTAAGGGAGTAGAGTATGCTGATATGTCTGCAATTCATGTTTGGCAACAAAGTGATGCTGATGATGATATAGGCGTTGAAGAAGGACAGGAACCTGATGAGAAAGAGATGACTAAAGCAAACATTGATGTTCTGAGAGCTGATTCTGTTATTTGTCATAAGATAGAGGTTAATGACAAATGTGCTCAGGCCCAGGAAGGGCTTCCTTATGTTATTGAAGCACCAAAAACTTTGACAGAAATTTGTTCCTTGTTGGACAATCGTTCTGATGTTGAAGTAGTTGAGATCATAAGACGGATTCGTGCATACAACTCAATCAGTCTTGGAGCTGAGAATAGAAGGAAAATGCAAGTAAGTTGTGTCACGTATTTAATGATGTATCCTTAAAGAGAGTTTTTCACGTTTGAGTTGCTTGATGCACCTTAACTAGTATTTACCTTATTTTACAGGTGTTTTACGGTGTTCTTATAAGTTATTTTGCAGCCTTATCTACTCAAAAACCTTTAAATGTCAAGATAATTAATTCTCTTGTGAAACCTCTGATTGAGACGGGAACAGAAGTTCCATATTTTGCGTCTGTTTGTGCTAGAGAACGATTAATACGAATACGTGCACAATTTTCTGATGATGTCAAGATCCCAGGTTCAGATATGTATTTTGTAGTAGTTATTTAAGCTGTTTTTCACGATTGCATATATATATATATACATATA